ACAGAACAGATAAAATGGGAGTAGGACTCACTGGTATAAACATCAGACCACATGCTCCCTGGGAAGTTCCACCAGCTCTTCCTGGGAGATGCAAGAATGCTACCCAGGTAGGAAGGTTCGGGGGCAATGGTCTCTGCTATGACTACAACTTCGTGGCTGTCACTGCTCTGGTGCTGCTCTTAGCAACCTTACTGCGTGTATCAGCAGCATTTTGCTTCCTAGATCTCTCCCTTCTCCTTCCTACACTTCTTCAATCAGCTTCTAGGACACTACACTCTTGGTGAAGGACACTGGGAGTGCATCCCAACCCGTCCTTCCCACAGTCCTTCGCTGCTTCCGTCTCTTCTCAACCTGTTAAAACTGGGTTGTCCCTGAGTTCACCTGTCACCCTTTTTAAATTATACTCATCCCCAAAGTGACCTAATTCCATTTCTGGCACTAAATATCATTTATATGTAAATGATTCCCAAATCTTTATCTCCAGTTTCAAGCTCTCTCAAAATCTAGATTCACAAACTCACCCTATCCCACATCTCCATGTGAACGTCTAATGGACACTTCAAAATCAAGACGTTCAAAATCGAACTCCTGATCGTCTCCCAAAAACTTGCCCCGCCTCCCCACTGCTCCATTGCAGGAGTCTTCCTTGACCGCGTTCTCTCATTCCGCTGCCAAATCTTGGCAAATCCTCTTGGCTCTCAAACTTCAAACACTTCTCTCCACCCTCATTCACACAACTTTGGGGCAACCCACATCACTCTTGCCTGGACTCTCGCGACAGTCGCTTAGGTCGTCTCTGTTCTACTCTTGGCCCCTATCCATTCTCAGCAAAGCACCACAACCCATTAAATCCCAGGGTTTCTTCAAAACCCTAAGGTTATGCAGTATATTACTGAGAGTAAAAGCTAGTTATTACCTCTACGTGACCTGGCCTGTGCTATTTTGCTTTCTTACTCTCCCTCACTCACTCCACCCTAACCATCCTGCCTCCTTGTAGTTCCTAGAGCAGGACATGCATGGGACTGCCTTAGATCCTTCTGCCTGGAACACTTCTCCCCAGTACCCACAGGGCCAACTCCCTCATCTTTTTCATGCCTTTCCTTAAATGCCACCTTTAATAAGCATTACCCCAACCACCTAAATAAAAAAGGAACAATAATGATGTGGGTGAGGTAGGGAGTCAGAAAGGGATTTAAAAAAAAAAAAAGAAAGAAAGAAAGAAAGAAAAAGAACTGCTAATACCCAAGCCATGTGTACCACCCAAATCCCATGGTCTTTCATGTCAGTTCAACATGGCTGAAAGCCTGGCACACCCACTCTTCATCATGCAGCTAAGCCTCACTTTCTATCATGCTCCACACGCCATGACGCCTGGAGACCACCACTTGTGTTGCAGCCCCACCCCAAATCTTTGTCTCCTTTGGATCTTCAACAACCAGGCCCTTGCCCTGAATGCCCCCCTAACTCTAAAAGGATGACTCTTGCCTTGGGGGGGGGGGGGCAATTTTCTCTCTTGAGGGTTCTCATACTCCTGAGTGTACTATCATTTTGCCTCTCAGTAAATCTTGTTCTTCTATTCACCCCTACCCAGTTACATTCTTACATGCAGGAAGACAAGAACCTGGACTAGGTCTAGCTGGGGCGCTCTCTGAGCCAAGCCAGGAATGGTTTCTGGGACACGCTGGGGGATCAGTGAGCGTTTAATAGACAGATGCTGGGAGGCACAAAAGCATCTAAATACCATACAGCATCCCTCAACTTCACTCCAGTAACCACCAAGGCAGGTAGGGACTAGAGGCGGAAATCAATCATTTAGGCCACGAACAAGAAGGGATTGGTGGGGGTGCTGTGGCACAGCAGGTAAAGCTATCATCTGAGGTGCCTGTATCCCATATGGTCAGCTCTGGCCATTGAGGTCTCTTGGGAGTCAACCAGTGGAATGGAAAACCTCTCTCTCTGGCTCTACCTCTCTCTGTAACTGTCTTTCAAACAAATAAAATAAATTCTTTTTTTTTTAAAAAAAGGAACCTACTCTTTTTAACTCATAATTTACCAGGATTAAGGAAGTCAGGGTCCTCAAAGAATATACCAGAATGAAAATTAGGTGTTAAGCACTAGACACCTCACCATGGCCCAGCAACATGAGATCATGTATCAGATAATTAACACTGAGGAATGTAGGTCAGCTGCTGGGTCACATCCAGAAGCCACGCAAACTGTCTGCAGGCAACAGCACATGACGCTAGCTACTTCCTGAACTAAGCCACAGAATCACTGCAAGACTCAGTAAATAGTCACCCAATTGCATCAGACAGCAAAGTGTCATTAACGCTCAACAGTCCACACTGAGAAATGCATCTATTTACCCTTAAAAGAATTAATTTTCTAGACTGACAGGTATGAGAGTCTTGCTGACGTTGTGGACTTTTTCTATTCGTTTTCTCAAGCTTGTCAGGGCATACTTAGTAGAGCAAATTCTTCGGTATGACAAAGTTTGGGAATACACTTCAATACTGGCACTTATTTCTGCATTCAACAAACACGATCAAACAGACAAGCCCCATCCCTTGGTGAGCTCACAATCAGGAGAAGCGCAATGCTGCCAAGGTAACTAACTCAGTGAAGTGAGGGACCCAGAATGTGCCGAGTGTTACTGGAGGGGTTGAGGATGGAAAACTCTATGGCTTGAGCTGAGACCTCACGAATGGGCAATAGTTAAACCCTAGGTGAAAGGGGGCAGGAAGTCACGTCAGCGTAGAGGAATCAGCATGTGCAAAGGCCCGGCAGCAGGGAAGGAGAGGGACTGGCATGTGGCACAGCGGGTTAGATACCGCAGCCCATATGAGCACTAGTTCAAATTCCTGCAGCTCCAGTCCCCATCTGATTCCCTGCTAACGCACCTGGAAAAGTAGCAGACGATGGCCCAACTACTTGGGTCCCTGCTCCCATGTGGAAGACCTGGATGGAGTTCCAGGCTCCTGGCTCAGGCTTGGCCCGGCCCAGGCCTCTGCAGCTATTTGGGGAATAAACAGTAGATCGAAGTGCTCGCTCGCTCTCTTTCCTTCTCTTTCTCTTCTGCAACTCTCTTTCAAGTAAATGTTTTTCTAAAAATTGTTTTAAAAAAGAAGGAGCGAGCAGTGGTAGACCTGAGGCTAAGGAGAAAGGCTGAGCTCAGATCACTTGGGACCCTTACTCCGTGCTTCAGACTCTAGCCTCTAGGTGAAACCTGGGAAGGATTCGAGAGGAGTAACATCAAGACAGCTTTGTGTTTAAAAATACCAATCCAGCTCCAGTGTAGAAAATGGGCAGCAGATCGGTTTAGCAGAAATTCTCCTTGGAAGAAGATCAGAGTAGTGCAGGAAGAGGAAAATGGGCAGAATTAAAAGAATATTTAGAATACAATTAGCAAGACTTAGTGACTGATTAGATCTGGAGGGTAAGAAACATGAGGATTTGGGGTTTTACCAAATGTCCCCAACATGAAGACCTCTTTACAAACTCGAACAGATCAAAATAAACGAATGTATGTTTGTACAGGGAAGTTGCCTGAACCGCGTCAATAAAATAAGCAGTTGCCTTGTCATGATGCATTTCAAAGTTTCAGCTTTTTCATTTTTTAATTCAAAAAGCCTGCTTTAAGTAAGTGGAGAAAGAATCCTCTTAACTGTTTTTTAGCATTATGGCATTGTATTTATAGAAACACATACTTCTCTACAGACATAGGAAGTCATTATTAAGCTACTGGATTGAGTCGGTATTTCTTGCTTTAACCTGATTTCTCTCGCTAACTGAGTGATGTTGGACTACCATCTAAGACCTCTAGGCATCTGTTTCATCATTTATTTGGGGAGAAGGGAACTAGGGATTGCCACGGAAGATTCTGCTCTTTAGCGATGATGAGTTTTTATGTGCACGAGTGTATTCTAGGTTCAGGGATTTCATGCATGGCTACCTCATGACTTTTTTTCTTACTCCTATGCCTGGATAGTCCTTTATCACACTAATACAATGCAAAAGTATTTCTCTTAAAAATGTTCCTGTAATTAGGTATCAAAACGACCACCAGAGCAGCTCCTCACAGACCTGGGAACACTGATGTGCCTAACTCCGTAAGTCTTATTTTTAAAAGGCATAATGAAAGGGAGCCACGTAAGCCACTCACAGTTCATTAAATATGGTACTTATGAAAACCAGCCTCCTGTAAAAGCCCTGTTTCCAGGGGAAATTCAGACTATGGGAACACTTTTAAGTTACATCGGCTGTCGAACATCGACCACTTCTACTAAGAAAAATTCATTGTAACACCATCTTTATTATTTCCTTAATGTAAATTCTGTCTCGGGTTGAGACGAAATTAATCTAGACAGATTCTATCGGGCCATCTTGGGGCCTCATTTAATCTATTCACTGCAAAAAAGCCTACAAGAACTACATGCAAATCCAGACTGCACCCAACGACAAAACAAATCAACATAAAACACACTAAAACTACAAGCCGGCTAACCTAGAAAACCCAGATAATTCACGTATGTCCCGTCCTGGGTTAATGTCTAGACATTCGTGCCCCACCATAAACCAGCCTACACCTGTCGCTATCCACGAAGCTCCGTCAAAGGATACCGTCTCCACGTGGAGGACAGGACCCTCCCTCTTTATACACGGAGGGACTGAAAAACGAAGAGGGTCAACGATGGGGATGGAGAGAACGCCGCTTCCGGCAGGAAACCAGACCCCGGGGAGAAACCCAAGAGCCCGGCGAAGTCAATCAAGGAGGAGGCGGGAAACAGGGGCGCCTGTCAACGACTGGCAGCGGGCGTGGGGCAGGAACGCAGCGGCACGGCCGGGGGCAGTGGCTGGAGGTACCCAATCCTGGAAGGTGGCGGCAGGGGAGGCACGGGACTCGCGGGACGCGAGCAGAGCTGGCTGCAGCGGGCGACGACTGAAAGCGGGAGCAGAGCGCACTCGGCAGGGCTTCGGCGGGGTCTGGGGGGACGCCTCACCTTGGTTTTTGTGCGGCTGGCCTTGGCCTTGGCCCGGCGCTGGGGCCTCACCGCCTCGGCCATAGACGCTACAGTGGCGCCGTCGCCGCTTGTTTTGGTCAAAACCCAGCGCTTCACGCAACCTGCCCAGTTCCGGCCTCCGGCTGTCACATGACCGACTCCCCACCACTCCCACAGAAGAGGCGGCATCTCCGGCCGCTACGGGCCGCAACGCAGGACAAACCGCGCCGAGACGCGTTCGCGGCGGCAGAGGGCGGCCCTGCCCCTTTCTGGAGCCCAGGCTCCGCCCTCCTGTGGCAAAGCGAGCTTAGCCTTGGACTTGGGCTCAGGGGAGCGCGCTGGGCCTATGGGGTTTCCGGCTGTCCAGGGTGACGGGTGGCCCCCGCCTACGGCGCTCCTACTCCGCGCCCACGTGGGCTTGAAGGAGGACGGGGAGTGGCTTGGGAACCCTCCTGGATCCTTAGATACCCACATCCCATCAGTTCGCCTGCGTCTCTGCGCTGCGACCCAGGAGAGAACCTTGATGTCCACCGGGGTGTGCACTAAAGCTTCGTCTTTCGCCATGGGCAATGTCATGACGCTGGGGGCAGGTGCAGTGGCGGCCGGTGGGCAGTTGTAAATCGTCGGTGCTACATATATTCCCAGGCAGACAACAGCAACCCGAAAAGGAGTCTTGGTATAGGTTTTACAGACTGCTTCGTCAGAACATTCCAGATGCGAAAAACTTGGCCACATCTCCGTTTTTCAGCTCTGTGATTTCTTTTTTCCTGAGCACTTGGAACAAGATGCATGAAACTTGTCTTTCTGTTTCGTGTTCCTGTCTGTGGCCCTCCTGGAATGCCAAAGCCTCGCAGCGGGTGCTCGGCTGTGTTCCCTGGCGCATCTCAAAGGTCCCTGGAACGCGGGTCAGCACGCAGCAGACAATGTTTACACCAAGTGAGTCCTGTTTGTGAGTTAATTAATCACACGCTCAGGGGACCCACGTTGTGGCCGCCACCTGCAACACCAAAAGCAGCGGAAGATGGCCCAAGTGTTTGCGGCCCTCGTGCTGACGATGTGGGAGAGACCCAGAAGAAGCTCAAGGCCCCTGTCTGTTGCAGACATTTGTGGACTGAGCTAGCAGGTGGAGGATCTCTCTCTCTCTCTCTCTCTCTCTCTCTCTCTCTCTCTCAGTCTGTAAATCTGCCTTTCAAATAAGAAACAATTTTTTTAAAAGATTTATTTTTATTTATTTGAAAGAGTTACAGAGAGAGGTAGAGACAGAGAGAAAGGTCTTCCTTCTCTGGTTCACTCTCCCCAGATAGCCACAATAGCCAGAGCTGCGCCAATCCGAAGCCAGGAGCCAGGAGCTTTTTCCAGGTCTCCCACGTGGGTGCAGGGGTCCAAGGACTTGGGCCATCTTCTACTGCTTTCCCAGGCCATAGCAGAGAGCTGGATCGGAAGTGGAGCAGCCAGAACTAGAACCGGCGCCCATATGGCATGCCAGCACTGCAGACTGGGGCTTTAACCCACTGTGCCACAGCGCTGGCCCCAAGAAACAAATCTTAAAAAAAAAAAACAGTGTTTTGATCCTAAAGCCTTAACAACAAACAAAAAGCTATGAAGATACTCAGAATGTACATGTACTCCGTGTGTCCTGGAGTGTGTGTGTGTGTGTGTGTGTGTGAAGTTACTGCCTGCCTGACAAATACCAACACTCTTCAGACCACTGGTCTGATCTGTAATGCCTGCTAGGACTTCTCCAGGCTGGAATACCGTGGCTGGTCTTCACCAACTCAAAACCTTTTTGGACTTTAACACCTTATGTACTGCCCACTATTTGGTCAGCAAAACTGGGTCAGCCTTCAATGTGCATGTTTGACAGGTTAGTTAGGAAGCAGACCCGGTGCACAGATAAATCATGATCTATCACAGCCCATGAGCAAAAAGAGGCCTAGCATACTTTGGAAAGATGGGAAGGGCTGGGGTGAGTTTCATATAAAAAAAAAGAGGTTAACCAGGGAGGATGGAGAAAGGTTATAAGATGGAAAGAAAGGGTTTTTAGACAACAACTTGAAGGAACTAGCCTGTACCTGGGCAAGAATTAACAGCCACCATGTGTGCTAAAAGTCACCTCCATCGCCAGAGAGCCATGGTGCTCTGTGTGAGCAGAGGTGGAGAGCATTTAGAGAGGAAAGGGCAGCCAACTAAGGTGAGGTGGGACAGGCCTGCTGCAGAGGCGCCCGCTAAACAACCGGAGCTTCCACCGTGAAGCATTTACTGCTGGAATGATTTTAGAATCTGTGGCCAATGGCCAGGCAGATCAAGTTCTGCCTTTGAAAAAATGCCGGCCCGGCGCTGTGGCACAGCAGGTTAAAGCCCTGGCCAGGAGCGCCGGCATCCCATATGGGTTCTGGTCCAGCTGCTCCTCTTCCAATACAGCTCTCTGCCGTGGCCTGGGATAGTAGTAGAAGATGGCCCAAGCCCTTGGCCCCTGCACCCATGTGGGAGACCTGGAGGAGGCTCCTGAGTCCTGGCTTTGGATCAGCGCAGTTCTGGCCGTTGCAGTCATTTGGGGAGTGAACCAGCGGATGGAAGACCTCTCTCTCTGACTCTACCTCTCTCTGTAACTCTGTCTTTCAAATAAATAAAATAAATCTTTAAAAAAGTGCCAAATCCATTCAGGAAGTAAAGCATTAGTCTAAACAGAAGAATTAGATGATGATAAAAGTTGAACCCAGGAAGGTGTTTCTGAGACTCCTGCTTTGAAAGGATATACAGTACACAAATGCTGCTCACTGAGACACCAAAAGAATTTACCTCTGACAGCAAGCAGGTTAATCATTGGCCTAATTAGTAGCCAAGGGTTTGCAGCCACCGCAGTAACAATCGCCAACATTTCCTGAGCTCTTGCTGTCTGCTGGACGCTGTGCTGAGTAATTCTGACACCCTGATCACATGATCCTCCTAAGAACCCTGCAGAGTTGGTCGTCTCTTCTTTTCTTTGTAGACTAAGAACTAAGCCTCGGAGAGGTCGGCTCATTTGCCTACAGGGCGAGCTGGGACGTGAACGAAGGCAGTAGTGCAGCATAAGCAGACCTTTACGATGCAAAGCCAGGGATTGGCATTGGGCAGAAGGGTTACAACTCTGCCTGGGATGCCTGTGTCACATGCAAGAGTGCTGGGATTTGGTTCTGCCTGGTTCCACCTTCTTGCTAACGTGCACCCTGGGAGGCAGCAGATAATATGGTTCAAGTACTTGGATCCCTGCCACTCACATGGAAGACCCAGATTGAGTTCCAGGCTCTGGCTTCAGCCTGGCCCAGTCCCAGCTGTTGCAGGCATTTAGGGAATGAATCCTGGACAGATCCCCGGCTCGTTCTCTCTCTCTCTCTCTCTCTCTCTCTCCCTCCCTCCCTCCCTCCCTCCCTCTTTTTTTTCTCTCTCCCACTCCCCCTCTTCTATCTTTCAAATAAATAATAGTTTTTGCAAAGATTGAAATGCAGGTTTCTTACATTTGTTTGCAGTATTCTTTTTTTAAAAGATATATTTATTTTATTTGAAAGTCAGAGTTACACAGAGAGAGAAGGAGAAGCAGAGAGAGAGGCCTTCCATCCGCTGGTTCACTCCCCAACTGGCCGTAACAGTCGGAGCTGTGCCGATCTGAAGCCAGGAACCAGGAGCTTCTTCTGAATCTCCCATGCGGGTGCAGGGGCCCAGGGACTTGGGCCACCTTCTACTGCTTTCCCAGGCCACAGCAGAGAGCTGGATCAGAAGAGGAGCGGCCAGGACTCAAACCAGTGCCCATATGGGATACCGGCACTGCAGGCAGCAACTTTACCTACTATACCACAGCACCGGTTCCTGCAGTATCCTATACTTACAGACTGGGGCCAGGATGAATCGCAGAAATATTTCATTTAAAATAGAACTGGAGGAGCAGGTGTTTGGCCTAGCACTTAAGGTAACCACATCCTGCATCTGTGAGTGCCTGGGTTTGATTCCCAGCTCCAGCTCAATCCCTGTCAATGCAGAGCATGGAGGCAGGGATGAGAAATCATGCAGTATATTCCTGCCAGCCACGTGGGAGACCTGGATTGCACTCCCAGCTCCTGGCACTGGCCCAGCCCCAGGCTTTGTGGGCATTTGGGGAACGAGTCAGTGGATGAAGTTTCTCTCTCTCTCTCTCTCTCTCTCTCTCTCTCTGCCTATCAAAAAAGAAGAAAGGAGAAGGAGGAGAAACTGTATTGTTCATAATAGTCACCGTGTTGACTGTTGGAGATATTTTCTCACAGACAACTCTACCTCATTTTTCCTTAATTAAATTTTCTGTTGTTTTATTTAAACAGAATTCTGGTGGCATTAAGTCATTTCCAACATTTTACTGCTAAAAACAATGCTTACAAGTAACCATTCTTACATATTTTTTATTTTTGCACTTGTGTATTTCTGTCAGACAAGGTCCTAGAAGTAAAATTGCTGGCCAAACGGAATTTCTCATTTTTAATTTTAATAAATATTTGCCAATTTTCCTCTGATGATCTGTATAGATTTTCACTACAATTTTGAGAATTTAAAATATATATATTTAAAGATTTATTTATTTATTGACAGACAGAAATACAGAGAGAGAAGGGCAGGAGAGAGGAGAGAGAGACAGAGACAGAGAGAGAGAGAGAAAGGTCTTCCATCCACTGGTTCACTTCCCAGACAGCCACAATGGCCAGGGCTGGGCCAGGTTGAAGCCACGTGCCAGGAGCTTCTTCTGGGTCTCCCATGTTGGTACAAGGGACCCAAGTACTTGGGTCATCTGCTGCAGTTTTTTGGAATCATTAGCAGGGAGCTGGATGGGAAGAGGAGCAGCTGGGACTGGAACTGGTGCCCATATAGGATGCTGGCACCGCAGGCAAAGGCTTAACTTTCTAAGCCACAGGGCCAGCCCTGAGAATTTAAAATATTTTTAATTTCATGAAAAAAAAAATCCTAACCAAGTGATAAAAAGAATGAAGCATTCATTAAAGGACTGTAACCCACATAGTACTTTACGGCATTCCAAAATGTAACATGACTGTGATTCATAAATCAACCAGTGTCTGGAACAGTGGGGCCCTAAGGGGTTCAGTAACATCTAGGGAACTCCAAGGAGCCCTGGGCCACCTTTCTTGACTGGTGCCTTCCAGGGTCTCTGCTGCCACCTGGTGGCAATTTCTTCCATTGGTGCAACC